TATAATAATAATATAAAGACAAACATTAACTTCCAGCCGCCTTTAAAGGGGAAAAAACAGATGCCTAGAAAGTGGATATTCGACTTCAATTTCACGCACTATTTACGAGTACAAATGGACAATGTTGCATTGTCTAGTACATGATTGCTGTCTGCTTTGTGGCGTCACAGTTGGAATTCCATTCACAGCCCTCCTCTCCACCTCAACACTTTTCCCATGCCAGGACAATTGGTAAGCAGGGTAAAAAAAAATCACTAAATTGACGAAAAAGATCAAATAATGGATGAAAGTTGGTAGGAAAGATGTTAAGAGGAGGACAGACGGAAACCTGTCTACCGCGTATTGGCATTGAAGAGAGCAGTGTTCGACTTCATGGCATTGTAGCTTCACCCGTCTGCTGTCCCACATACCTCATCCCTCTTTCTTTCAAGTAGCAATGCCTCTTTGCTATCACTCATGTCAAGTCCATGTTTAATTCCACCCCTCATGGAGTGAAAGTAGGCAGGCAATAGAGTGTACGGACAATAAGACGTGACAGTAGGCCGTACTTCTGCATTCCCCACTTCCGACATGCTACAACATTAATTTACACAGCGCCCTTATTGCACACGGAAGCATTTATCCACTTGCACCCTCCACACTCCTCTTCCCCTCCTCCCTCCCCCCCCTCCCCCCCACTTAATCCCTGTCCCAATTTCCCCATTTTCGTGCAATCTGTTTGCCATTCCACCTCGAATGAGTGAAACGCTATCTTTCAACAGCATCAGCAAACTAACTGTAAAATTAGGGACGCTAACACAAAATCCATCCCTCCCCACCTCACTGATGCCAAATGCACTCGTAGTGGAGGCTCGGGCTAGCGAGACACAGTAATGCCATAGGAACACTCTACACCACCAGGCAAGAGAGTAAGTAACGGTGCCAAGTGTACACAACAAGTCTCTCTATCACGTCTAAATGTCATAAGTAAATCAATTTTTGTTGCGTGGATCAGTACGACTCGCCCTTTCTCCCGCCTCACTTGGAAAATGCAGTAGTTTATTTGCTCTCGGAGGATTAACTACAGCCTTCACAGTTGTGCTACAGAGGGAGAACTTGTGTAATTGAGATAAAATGTCCACTTTCAAGTACCACCTCCTCGATATGAGGTGCGTCTCAATGGGCAACCGTTTTTGAGAGTTACAGAAAACCGTTCCCGCTGCCCTGTTTCTTCGCGGTCCTGTGGCATTGCAGTACTTGACATGGGGATAAAAATATCCAAGACAGAGAGAGAGAGAGGAGGGAACGATGCGGAGTTCTATTTATGTTTCTGTCATCTTTCATGCACAGACGCACAACCTTTTATGCAAACAAAACTTTTTTTTATGCCCCCAAAGAAAACACCATTGTGTGCCGAATGCATTCCCACTGGAATGCCAAATTCCCGAGAAAGGTCGTGACCACAGTAGGATGTTATAAGTCATAGTTTTTTTGCTGGGAGTGTCTCTGTTTTCACGACGAGTGCATGATTACAAGACATCTAAATAGTACTAAGGTGTTCTGATCCTGTGATAACGGAATTTCACGAGACTCCTCACCATCACCTTTAGACACTCAGACGTCCACCAATCACGACGCCTCAAATTGTAAACAGGCGGTTAATTTGGTTTCCAGAGGATGAGACGGAAAAAGAAAAAAAGAAAAACAAGATGACAGGATCACTTTGTTTTTTTTTTTGAAAAAAAGGCAACTAAAATGGCATGGGAGGGTGAAAGAGGCGGAACAGTGG